TAGTGTTATGTCTATAAAAACAATGCACATACCTTAACTTAAAAATATATCTTGCTAAAAAATACTAACCATCATCTGAGCCTTCAGCAAGTCGTAATCTTTTGGCTGGCAGAGGGCCTTGACTTGATGTTGATGGCTGCTTCTTGATTAGGGTGGTAGTTGCTGAAGGTTGGGGTGACTGGCAATTTCTTAAAATAAGGCAAAAGGCATTGACTTCTCTCTAGCTATGAAAGTCCTAGATGGCATCTTCTTCCAATATAAGGCTGTTTTGTCTACATTAAAAATCTGTTGTTCAATGTAGCAACCTTCATCATCTTAGCTAGGTCTTCCAGAAAACTTGTTGCAGCTTCTACATCAGCCCTTTATGTTATGGAGACAGCTTCTTTCCTTAAACTTTACGAACCAAATTGTGCTAGCTTCAAACTTTTCTTTGCAGCTTCCTCACCTCTCTCTTTCTCTTCATTAAAGAAAGTTAAGGCCTTGCTCTGGATTAGGCTTTCACTTAAGGGAGCATTGTGGCTGGTCTGATCTTCTATCCAAGCCACTAAAACTTCTCCCTATCAGCATTTAAGGCTGTTTTACTTTCTTATAATTTGTGTTCACTGGAGAACTTTTAATTTCCTTCAAGAACTTTTCCTTTGCATTCATAACTTGGCTAACTGGCAAAGAGGTCTCACTTTCAACTTAACTCAGCTTTCGACATGCCTTCTAGCTTTTGATTTAAAGTGAGGGACCTGTGACTGTTCCTTTCACTTGAATACTTAGAGGTCATTAATGGGTTATTAACTGGTCTAGTTTCAATACTGTTGAGTCTCAGGGAACAAGGGAGGCCCAGGAGAAGGAGAGATAGGGGAACAGTCAGTTGGTGGAGTAGTCAGAACACAAACATTTATCTATTAAATTCATTATCATATTGGCATGGTTCGTGGCACTCAAAAAGAATTTTAATAGTAATATCAAAAATCAATGATCACAGATCACCATAACAAATATAATAATGAAAAAGTCTGAAATATTAGATAATTATCAAAATGTGACACAGAGACACAAAGTGAGCAAATGCTGTTGGAAAGATGGCACCAACAGACTTGCTTGATGCAGGGTTGCCACAAACCTTCAATTTGTAAAAACCATAGTATCTGCAAAGCGCAATAAAGTGAAATGCAATAGGATGAGATATGGCTGTATATATTTTTTTTTTTAATATATTTTATTGATTTTTCACAGAGAGGAAGGGAGAGAGATAGAGAGTTAGAAACATCGATGAGAGAGAAACATCGATCAGCTGCCTCCTGCACATCTCCCACTGGGGATGTGCCCGCAACCCAGGTACATGCCCTTGACCGGAATCGAACCTGGGACCTTTCAGTCCGCAGGCCGACGCTCTATCCACTGAGCCAAACCGGTTTCGGCTATGGCTGTATATTTTGCTCTATCAGTTGTTTCATTAAAGAGTGTTAGATATGCTATAAGTATTAAATACAAGTTATTGCAAAAAATATAACAAGCTGAATAAGTTACTATGTTTTGACTAGTCTATGCTAAGTTACATGCCGAAGACCAATAAAATCATATTTAATTTTAGATTGGTAACTTCGTTGATTTAAACTTTGAGTGCATAATAATATATATCAAGCACTTTTGAAAAATTTAATTCCAGCACTTTTTCTGGTTTACATGCCCCTTACAAATGTTCCCACAATGCAATAAGTGCACTTTCAAAAATTTTGTATCTCCACCTTTTAATGTCTTATATTTTTATCCTTAGAGAAAGACAATGAAAATAGAAAACAAAGTCAAAAATAACTACTACCAGGCATCTTAGATAAAATTAAGGATATTAAGCAATAATATTAAATGAACTTACCTTTACCTAAAAAACAGGTAAGTGTTGTATTATATAATTCTCAATTAAGAAAAATTTAATTTGGAGAAAAAATTAAATTTCTGAAACTGAATTCATAATGGAAAATTTTTATGATTTCTCAAAATACATATTTGTTAAATGGACAATTCTTAAAACTCAAGATAATAGTACCCTAAGTGTTAACTCAGTTAAAGTATTGTTGTAGAACTTAAAATAGTATGATCCAAATACACTAATTTTCAACTATATAACTTAACATAGAAATAGTGTTAAGAACATTTAGAAGAATAAAAAGAAGCCATATTTGCCTGGCCGGTTTTGCTCAGTGTTTGAGTGTTAACCCATGAACCAGGAGGTCACAGATTCCCAGTCAGGGCACATGCCCCGGTTGCAAGCTCAATCCCCAGTAGGGAGCATACAGGAGGCAGCTGACCGTGATTCTCTCTCATCATTGATGTTTCTCTCCCTCTCTGAAATTTTTCTTAAAATAAAAATGTTTTTGTGTGTGTTGGGTGTGTGTTTTTTTTTAAGTAGCCATATTCACTGTGATACTTCTGAGATGGCTATTAAGAGAAGGAAATTATGGGAAGTACTCATGCATTAAAACATGGTAGTATTCATTAAGAAGACCTAAAGGGCCAATCTTAGTTGCTATAATTTTAAAGAGACCTGTAATCTCTTAATAGCAGGCACAGAAAAAATAGGAATTCATGCTGAATTGTAATAGTTTAGGTGCAGAGCAATGTGATCAAGATATTTTTAAATAAGCAATCTGAAACATACTAGTATTTTGAGTGAAAACTATTTTGGATCCCAAGAGTTTCCTGGCTCCAAACCAGATGGTTTGGGTTTGACTAAATGATAAATAAATGATTGTTTGCAACTGAATATTATCAATCAACAACTTAAATTATGACAAACTTCAATAAAGCATTTATAAATATCTCAATTTGGGTAAGATTACTTACCAGAATCAGAATTCAGTCCATTTCTAAACCACTCCCAAAGAGTAAACAGAATTTATCTTTTTAATGAAACAAAATTGTCCTCATAAGGCAATAAAACATTTAACAAATACAAAATGTTTGTTATAACTTAAATTACTTTTTCTAGCAATATCAATTCAACAGATTCCACTGCCTGTAAAGTCTTCACGTAGTTCAAGTTTTGTGTTTGTTAGTATAAGTCACATAAAGTTGTTCTTCTCAAACTTCAGTGTACAAACACCAGAGGATCACAGTAAAATGCAGATCCGAGTCAGTGATCTAGAGGTAGTTCCAAGTGGTGCCTATGCTGCTGGCCTTTGCTAATTGAGCAGCAAGGAAATAGAAAGAATCTTATACAGCAGGTCCTCAAATAACATTGTTTCATTCATCATCGATTATTTATAACATTGATGAGATGTCCTAGGAACTTAACTCTTGTTTATAAAAATTAGCCCAAGGTAAAATTGGTTTCATTGTACATCCTTTTGCTTAAAGTCGTTTATCGATGACATTAAGTGAGGACTTACTATATATATTTGTCATATAGCTAACATATCTAATAGCGCTATCAAGCGATATGAATATAAGTTTAAACGGAGAGTTAGGTCATGGCCCTATTTTACACCATACAGAAACAAAACTTCACTCTTCTTCTTTACTCTAAATTTAAATACTTACATGCCGTAGCAGACACAGGGTATATTATACAACTAGATTACACAGTTGTTCCATAGAAAAGTTCCTGTTTATCTAGTAGGGAGTATCAGTAAACTCTGAAATCTATTCCTACCAATTTTCTTGTTTAAGTCAAATCTAAGTAAATGACCCACAGTCGAATATTTTTAAATTAGTTTGTAAAATATAATCAATATTGCTGCAAAAAATATCTTCAAAAGAATGAAAATCCACAAAATGTTGAAAAAAATGTTTCAAGTTATATGTTATAGAACCTGTATTCAGAATATATAAATTACTCTTAAAACTCAGTAATAAAAAGATACAGAACCCAATTTAAAACGGTGCAAAGGATATGTACACACTCTCCAAAGAAGATATACAAATGGCCAATAAGCATATGAAAAGATGCTCAGTCATTAACTATTGGAGAAATAAAAATCAAAACCATAATGAGATACAATTTCTCACCCACTAAGATGGCTATCTTAAAAAGAAGGGGAATAACAAATGTTGTTAAGGGTATGTAAACAATGGATCCCTCCTACATTGTTAATAGGAATGTAAAATGGTGCAGCTACTTTGGAAAACAGCTTGGCAGTTCCTCAAAAGGTTAAACAGAGAGTCACCATGTAACCCTGCAATTCCATCCCTACCTATGCTAGAGAAATGAAAACATACATCCTTAGAATTTCTACACAAATATTTGTAACAGCATTATTCCTAATAGCCAAAAAGTAGAAACCACCCAAATGTCCGTCAACTGATGAATGAATGTGATATATCTATATAGTGGATTCAACAATAAAAAGAAATAAAGTACTGAAATGCTACAAAATAAATGAGACTTGAAAACATTATGCTAAATAAAAGAAGTCACAAAAGACCAATATTATGATTCCATTTATATGAACTGTCCAGGACAGATAAATTGACAGAGACAGAAATATTACGGGTTGTCTAAAACCAGTAATATTTGGGGATGAGGGAGGAGGGGGGAAATGGCAGTGACTATTAATAGATATGGAGTTTTTTTACGAGGGTGTAGGTGGGGATGAAAAGGTGACTGTGGTGATGGTTGCACAATTCTGTGAACATACTAAAAACCACTGATTTATACACTTTAAGTCAGTGAATGGTATGTGAAAGCTGTTTTAAAGTCAAAGTACCTGTGTTTTTGATAAGTTTTGACTTATAGAAGCAGCAATTAAAGTGCCTTTCATTTTAACAGATTTGTCTGGAAATGCCCACTTCTGTTACAATAGGACCTCTTTAGCCTACTGTGTTTGGCATCATTCTTCTTCAACTTTGTAGCTGGGACTAAGCTTCCATAAGAGAACTACTTGTAAAGGTGGGGAAAAGGGTAAGCAGTTCAACTAGGGATGAAAAATTGCCTTTGAAATGGCTCTTGAAAATAAGTAGAATTTTCAAGGCTAAGCACACTCGAGCTAAGGAATCAGGGCTAAAACAACTAATAAAGTGTAATTTGATAAAAATTACACAATGAAACTTGATAAAAGCATCAACATTATAATTCTAACCTCATTAAAATTTCCTTTCTGGTCTCGATAGTTCACTCTATTCAACTGTAGCTCTTCCCAAAGGGAGAGAAAAAAGAAAAAGAGATGTTTCAGTTAGATTTGCATCCTTGTAACTTCTTTACTTGGGCCTCTCCCCACCACTTCCACCTCCATCTTCCAACACATAGATTCCTGATGTCTCAGTAGCATAAATCTCTAGAATACCAAGGGCTTCAAGAATTTTGTTTTAAACAAATTTAATTCATCAATCTAGAAACATGTGATACAGATGAACTCAGTGAGAGAACCACATGTACCCACAAGTCATTAAGTAAAACTTAATCTCTGCCTTCAATCCCTGGTGTTGCCTACAGCTCTTGAAATAGCAGTAGTGCAAATGATCTATTCATTTCAATTCAACCTCAATTCTGTGAGAATTCACTTTTCAAAATCCAATCTCCACTATTTTCCTACTAACTCAATTTACACATCATCTACAGCTTAGCTTTCCAACCAGGATAACAAGTTCCCTGAGGATACAAGGAAGTGTGCAAGGAGATACAAGAGGGAAAAGAATGAACATGGATTATATATATATAATCTTTCCCTTTTTAAAATTTTCTTGACTGAAATACATTTATACCCTAAAATGCCTATACTCTGGGCGAGAAATAATATATTGCCTGGGTTTGCTTTAAACTACTGCAGAAAACAAAAGGAGAGGAGAATACACATTTTTTAAAACTCTGGTAGATGTGGATAATTGTTGAAGCAAGGTGATAAGTATACAGTGATTCGATGTATTCTTCTTTATACTTACATATAAATTAGAGTTTCAATAAAATAAAAACACTGCATGAACTAGCTCTCTACAAACCCTTACATGCTAGCAACACTTAACGTGAGCCTATGTGGATTTCTCCCTTTTCTCAACCCTATAGAATTCCACCTGAACCACCCATTTTTCACAATTATTGACAATTTTTCACGCATATTTTTATTTCCATATTGAAAGGACTACAAAACAGAGTCCTTGCTGTCAAGTAACTTATAATCTTTCTTCTATTAAATCCAAGACATTCATTCAAGAAGCCTATTTCCTAAATATTTATCATGGGCCAGATACTCTTTCTAATGCATGGATACAAACACCAGGCATCAAAGAGCTAAGTAACCTCAAAGAGCTAAGTAGAATGTAGTTAGATTGGTTTCTCTGAAAAAATCTCAGTTATTCCTCTGATGAAAACTTTCACTAGCTTACCACTGCATAAAGAATAAAATCAAACATCTTTACCTAGAAGTCAATATCCTTTATAATTTAGCCCTTTGGTCCAAACAGTTCACCTACCTTCCAATTCCTGGGCCTTCCAAGCATATTTCTCAATGTGTCTTTCCTTATGCCATTTCCTCAGTTTTAAGAACTGTATAAAATCTCTTCTGCATATCTGAACCCTAACAATCCTTTCAAGGCCCAGTTCAACTTGCCCATGAAGTCTAGGTAAGTATACTTTTATAAAATCCTACAGCATAGATTTATACCATTCCTTTAGCAATTAACAAATGTGATGTCCTGTATCTTCTCATAGCCTTCACAATGTTCAACACAATGTCCTGCCTACAGAAAATGCACAGTACTTATCTTATTACCAGTTTACTAATTACCTTGGGTATCTAAAATGACTGGCCCATGCATGAGGATGGTGTGTCCTCTAGGGCCAGCCTCCCCAATTCCAACTCAGAGCTGTTCCATTGATCTGTAGTACTCAATCACTTTCAGCTGCTCGTTTACCAGTTAAATTTTGGTATAAAAGCAGAACTGAAGGGCTTTAAGTAACTTTACCACAGATCTGCAAAGTCCCATTCTAAGTTTAAAAAAGTAATAATAAAGAACAAAAGAGCCCAGCTGGCAGGGCTTGGCAGTTAAGCACTGACCTATGAACCAGGTGGTCAGGGTTCGATTCCCAGTCAGGGCACATGCCAGGTTGTGGGCTCGATTCCCAGTGTGGGACATGCAGGAGGCAGCCAATCAGTGATTCTCTCTCTCATCATTGGTATTTCTATTTCTATCTCTATCTCTCTCTCCCTCTCCCTCTCCCTTCTTCCCTGAAATAAATAAAAACGTATTTTAAAAAAAGAACAAAAGAAAGCCAAAAATGACAACTATATAGGGCTGAAATCAATGTGACAGCTTAAAGACTGGCCTGTATAATCGCTTCTGATTTAGGGTCTGTAGTTTTAAATAGCAAACAACTCTCCTGTCTCAAAAATCAGCTGGGCTAAACTAGAGAAGTTTCTCTAAATATTTCAAAGTTTTTCTTCCCTTTTTGAATACCAAGGGAAAAGGAGGAACCCACTGTCCCCTAAGGGAATGAGTTGTTTAGGGATAAAGTATTTCCAAAAAAAGAAAGCACTGCTGTTGCACTTACCATATTGTGGTTTAAGTATCTGCTTATGAACCTGTCTCTCCCATCAAACTATAAGCTCCTCAAGGGCAGGGAATCCAAGACTGGATATCTTGTCTTACTTATCTTTATATATCCTAAGTCTAATAACAGCCTGGCACACTGAGGGACTCAATAAATGCTTTCTCAATTAATGAATGAATTCCACCTTAGGTTAAAATATGCTCAAAATGCCAACAGCCTGTTAAAAAGTAATGGATAGAGGTTAAATAATATATTCAAATGCCAACTGCATGTTAAAAAGTAAAGAAATATAGAAGCCACATACATTTTATATTTAAGCAGACTAAGCATAATCTATTGGCATTTTCTTTCTTCAAAATCATTTCCAACAGCTGACATAAAATTTCCTAAGAGCCCTGGCCGGTGTAGCTGTTGGTTGAGCATCATCCCATGAACCCAGAGGTCATTGGTTCGATTCCTGGTCAGGGCACATGCCCAGTAGGGGGCTTGCAGGAGGCAGCCCATGAATATGTCTCTCTCATTGATGTTTTTTTCTCTCTCTTCCTCTCTCTCCATTTTATCCCTGGTCTTATCAGTGTTTTCCATTTTCTAAATGGGATTAAAAATGGTGGTGGGGGGGGGATTCTCCTTGATGCTCTCTCGGATCTTTCTCCAGTGTTCCTGCCCCAGTTTCAACTGATCTCTGCTTTTTTATTACCCTTTAACCCATTAAAAAAAAAATTTGAAGAGTCAATGAGAGTGATCATCAGAGAATGGAAGTTTCAGAATCAGAGAGAGGGTGCAATGCACTTTAATCTGTCCCAACAATCATTAAAAATCATTGTTGAAATTAAAATGCACCACGAAAAGACAGAGTACCACACACAGAGCAATATATACTATAGACAGGATGTCCCCAAAGTATATACTTTAACAGCTTGAAAGCTCAATTGATGTTTCTTTTTCAGATTTAACCCATTAGAATAAAAAATTATTCAAAGTGCATATAGAGGCAGAGGCTAGATTAGCACCTCCTTAGATACAAGAGCCAGTGTACCCAGTGGTCAGAGTGGGACCATCCAATTATAACTCCTCAGTTACATAGGGGACACACTCAGGGGCAGGCTCAGTGAGCACCAAATCCCCACTGAAGCAAGTCTTGCCCCAGAAGGGTGTCTTCAGCACAGAAGTTCTCCCAGTGTAGACACAGCTGATTCTCACAGCCAATTGGCCTGGAGGTCAATTCCTCCCAGTGTTACCTACAACAAGACTGTGCACAAAGCCCACAAGGGGGTGTACCAAGAGTGTCTACCTCAGGTAATTGGGAAGGCTGAGCCACTGGGCCCTATAGGACACTTAGCACAGAAAGCCACTCTATCAACACAGCGAAGCATAAAAAATGCCGAGACAAAGAAACAGGACACAAATGACCTAAAATGGAGGAAAGCAAACTACTGGATATAGAGTTCAAAACCACGGTTATAAGGTTTTTCAAGAATTTTCTAGAAACCGCCAATAAACTAAATGAGACCAAGAAATCTAATGAGACCCTCAATGTTGTGATAAAGGACCAACTAGAAATTAAGCATACACTGATTGAAATAAAGAATATTATATAGACCAGGGGTGGGCAAATTTTTTGACTCGTGGGCCACAATGGGTTCTTAAACTGGACCGGAGGGCCGGAACAAAAGCATGGATGGAGTGTTTGTGTGAACTAATATAAATTCAAAGTAAACACATTACATAAAAGGGTTTGGTCTTTTTTTTTTTTTTTAGTTTTATTCATTTCAAACGGGCCAGATCCTGCCCGTGGGCCGTAGTTTGCCCACGGCTGATATAGACTACCAACAGCAGACTAGAGGATCGCAAGAATCAAGTCAAAGATTTGAAATACGAAGAAGCAAAAAACACCCAACCAGAAAAGCAAAATGAAAAAAGAATCC